ATTTAATTTAATTTAATTTAGTCCATTTTCACTGCATTAAGTTTTGCAGTGGGGAAGGACTAGAAAGGAACATAGGAACCATTCGTGCTAGTCCACCCTCCCACCCATCCCACCCCAGGGGAGGACATCCATCACACAGTAATCTCGTGTGTGGGAAATTAACGTCTCCTACCCCAACCCTGCAGGAGACGGGACCTCCATTTATTCGTCCCTATCCGAGAAGACTAGAATATCTAACCATTTCTTGATGTTATAGAAAGGCAGCAAATTCTTCTCAATTATTTTAAGACCCTGAGTGTTGGTCCGGCCGGGGCTCGAACCCTCGACCTCCCGCACAACAGTCCAGCGCTCTATCCATTGAGCTAACCGGGAGGCGGTTAGTTTGACCGCCGCGGTCAATTTTTCAGATCACAGATATCTTCGAGATTTGGATCGATTGAGCCAACTTCCTTGCTGAATCATATTCCTTAAAGCACCTAACTGGTCACGTGCAATAATCTATAAGTGGACTCAGTATTGACAAAAGGAAAACTGACCTCAGCTTGAGGGAAGTAAAAAAAATTTTGGCTCAGTATGAAAGGGAGAAAGAGTGAACTACTCACAAAGGGCCTAGAAGGAAAAAGGATTGTTGAGGAAGGAAAAAGGATTGTTGAGGAAGGAAAAAGGATTGTTGAGGAAGGCGAGAAGATTGCCCGTACAAGAAATGACGAACTGAAACAACTTACGCGCTTAGAATGCAAAACTACCTTAGTTAAACTGAAACGAAACCACAAAATATTGGTCTTGAAAGAAAGTGAAATGCTAAATGTTTAAGCAATCGGTCAAATAAAGAAAAAAAAAAAAGATCAAGAAGGTAAGGTAAAGAGCAGATTACCAAGGATTGCAATGACACACTTAAAAATTTTAGGCTAATTTTTTGAAAGAGGCACAAAACCAAGAGTCGCGAAAAAAATGAAATAAAAATAAGATTGACGAATATTGTTTCTTCGAGGTTTCCCTCGTATGACAAGTGAAACTTAGTAACAAGTGCTCCACTCAAACTTCCTAACGTCAAAACATCGCAAAAATTTTAAATATGGGTTCAGTTAAAAATCAATAATGAAAACAAAGGAGAAATACTACTTGATTCAAATTATGAGATACAAACAAAAACTGTATTAATTTCTTGTCCAGTAGAAGTCGGACTGAACAAAACTCCACAAAATATCAATTTCAGTTATACATCGTTTGAAATATCGTTTCTTAAGCAATTGCCATCAGTGAACGCATCAACTTCAGTAACTCGCTTTGAAAAAAAAAACATTTCAGAAGCCCACGGGTTAAGAGAATGTTTTCTGAAATAACTGTTACGTACCATGTGAAATATTTTGATTGTTTCGATTGAGTCCTTCTTTCATGACGACAACCTTTCTCTTGGGACGAAACTGGTTTTTCAGGTTTTGCAAGCTTTTACGACAAGCTTTCGCCACACGGGTCTGAAGTGGTGATTCCCCACGCGTATTGAAACCCATCACGCTAAATAATGGTTATACCGAACACTGAAATGAACGACTATTCGATCTGAGCGGCTTTTCAGCTCTGAAAACGGCAAGAAAACACTTACACTAAGAGCTAGCTTCGACGGAAATGCGGATTATTTTCGAGAGATATCCTTTAATTGGCTAAAAATAGGATTGAGTCATAATTTCCACGTGTTAATATCCAACATCAGCCAGAAAGCGAAATTTGCATTATACATCAATCAAATCAATTACAAACAAGAATAATTTCGCCTGCTTTAACGAGAAGAGGTTAATTATCGAATTTCAGCAGATATGAAAATCCTTCCTCTTTTAGAGCCTTTTTCGAGTATTCTAATAACCTGCTGCCCACTAAAATCTTTCTGTTTTGAAACACATTTGAATGCAAGAACCAGTTACTGTTGCATCATCCACCTTTTCTTGACACTTAATATTGATAACATACCACAGACTTGGCATATTTCCCTCAGGTAAAACATTAAACCAAACCGATCAAATTACGTTGTGTAACTATAAATAAAACGTCTTCGAGTGAAAACTTTGCGACAGCAGAAATACAACAGGAAATAGTTTCTTTGAAAACCGCAAGCTGGGTTGTACTTGACCAATTGGAGAAATAATTTCGGTTGTTACTTTTAAAATTAGATAGCCGCACGGATGAGTTGTATCTAGACTAAAGGAACTTTCATAGCGCCTTCTACACATGCTTTATGACTTCTGACAAGATGACATTCAAATGTATTAGTTGGATATTCCAGTGACATGGAAAAGGAATCTTCCACGCAGAAAGAGAGCTACTCCAGTCTTCCTTTTCGAAACTGCTCAGTGACGATGTCAATCATACTCGACACACATTCCAACGCGCAGGTAATTTTAGATTATTTTTCTCGACTCATCAATTGTTTCATACATCGTAAACCTTCTCCAGTCCACTTTGCAAGAGTTCGCCCCGTTCCTCGATAAGAGGAAATTTAGTTAGTCCTAAATGTATTTATCATTGTTTTTAATTAGCTCAAGGAAGGTCGAGAGGTAAAGTCCTCGAAACACTTAACGCAGTGAACTGTTAAGTCTTTTCTGCTAGCTTTAGGGCAAATCTCCAAACAGGAAAGAACTTAGAGTTCAGTCAAGTAAGGGTGTATGGATAAAGAAAAAGGAGTAGAGGGGGTGTGGGGTAAGTGTTAAAAAGGATCCTTCAGCTATTGAAGGGGTTATTTAGTTTTCGCTTGGACGGCTCGTCCCGTAATTTGATCATACGTGCTCCTAAAGATCACGCGTCCTCCTTCATTTCATAGCAACGCTCTGAGTAAGAATCACTGATTGGTACCACGGGATCCTTTCCAACAGTCGAGGTAGAGGTGGACAAAAATGCTTTGGGAAGAGAGAAATTGTGTAGAATACGACACAAACAGCGACAAACTAAATATTGATTTTTTTTATTATCCATCCAGCAGTCATTACAATGCGCCATAGTTCTAGCTAAAATGTCTCGTTCCGCAAAAGAAACTGTATCAAATGTAGCGAAGAGTAACCTAAAAACTCTTTACGGTGGACAATTTCCATTTTCGACTCAGCTAGTAAAACCAAATTACCTTGACGACATATCGAAGGCACGACTTTATAATCAAACTACTGGAGCTGGGTAAACCGCCTATCTATTACCTTGACGACATATAGAAGGCACGACTTTATAATCAAACTACTGGAGTTGGGTAAACCGCCTATCTTGACCAGCCAATTGAAAAAAACATTCCCTAACTAGCTACTGTTATGATCCGATAACATACCTAATTCGTCTGACTTACTCTCTGTTTGGTTAAAAAATAACGTTCCCGGCAAAAACCGTTTTAATTTTACATCTAGAGATATATGCTTTACTTAGCAAAATATACCAACGGATTTAACACATTGAATAAATTTTCCGTAGCTACGACGAGTCAGCTTTTCAATGCATTCGTTTTCACTTTCAAATTATCCCTAAGTTTTTTTTGTTTATAATTGTTTTAAATCTCGATCTACCGAACGGGCCTGGATAAATTCTTCTAGCGATATACTTAAAAAAAAAAAAAAACAAAAACAAACAAACAAACAAAATGATAAATGTAGAGGCTATATTCAATGTTTTGAGATCATTGAGATGGGCAATTTAAGGGAAGATAAATCCCAAAGCATTTCTGTCGTCCTCGTGCCCTCATTCCTACAGAGGAAAATACAACAATAACAAGACAGTTATAGGCTAGACAGAGTAAAAGTTTAGTAGCGCAAGCCTCGCTAACAACTTCTCTGCAACTAGTTAGTATTATCCGACCAAAACATCGGAACATCGGAACAGAACAACAGAGCATCCGACAACTACCATCGGAGTATCCGACCGCAACATCGGACCTAGCTTGGGTGCGAATCTTCACGTAAGAACCATATCTCATTGACCAATGAGTCCTTCACTCATTGGTCAATGATCAACATCTTTCTTGATAGATAAGAGCCCAATTACGATACACAGTTGGTTCTTTGAAGCGGAGAAACAGCTACTCCTGTAGCCCTTCCAATAGACAATAGTTTCTTTTCCGTTTCAGCTCTTTCAATCTCCACGAGCTTGCAGAGTTCATGTATGTGTGTTATCTGTTTTTTCTTTTTGTCCTATTGCTGCGTAACTTAATACCCACCCCTTAAAGTGGGGTGTTAATACCTTAATACCCACCCCTTTAAGATAAAACTTGAAATAAGGGCCCGGATGCTTACTCGAGGAAATATGATATGTGATCAAAATCATAAACGACGAGAGGCAGAAAACGTAGCTTTAACGCAAGTATCATTTCATGGAGGTGAACTCCTTGGCACAACATCACTACACTTTACACC